AGAGCATTAGTGTTGATCCATTCCACTTCTTCATATGGATCTTGACCATCACTGCTGACTTTTTCTGTACCATGAAAGATAAAACATGAATATCGAAAACAACGAGAGAAAGCAAGATGTTTTTCGGTCATAATAAACCGTTAATGAATTCGAACACTTTTTCTCATAGTTTGATTCGTACAGTCGCCGTATTGTCACACTAAATGTCTATGTGAGCTCTGTTATAAGCCTTTTCGATGAAGTATGCCAGATTTTCCAAAGAATTAGGGGCCTGTCATTGTTCATCATCTGAAAAACAGAAGGGGGGTGGGGTATGGCGGCGGGCGGAAGGAAGGAGAAAGATCACATGAGGGAATGGAGGGGTATCAGTTATCCCCAAAAGAGCTTAAAGGGGGGAACGTGACTGCAGAAAATTCACCGGCAACTGATTAACTTTTACTGAACGGGGGAGAATCAAAAGAATATTAATGAGCGTTGTTGGGGATGTATGATCTAAATTGCTTGCTAATTATTTTTGTGTAATTTTGTAGTTATTTGGTTTCTTACTTATTTCTTCCTTTATTTTCCCATTACTCCTTTTTATTGTTTTTGTTGAGTTTGTTATCTTTTCCCTACTTTAGTTGCATCTTATTTGTCTCATTTGTACGTTTTTCATGCGCACGCAACTACGCAATCCTCTTCATTTTTATACATAATCACTTTCCTTAGTCAGTTTACCAAAAGCGCGAAGTCCTCTGTCTAGAAGTATTTTTCAACTTAAAAGTTATTCGCTATTGCAATTACATACTAAGCTTGATCAAGGTAAGTATTTTTCCGTTTGGCTTGTATTAATTTTTGTTTGTAATTTATTAATCTTACTTAACTTAACTAAGACTTTTATTTAACATTTTTTTAGTTTCAACCCGCTGCTGTGTGTTAGCAATGAAAATAAAAACTCAGATTTTTAAAGATAACGCTCTCGCTGTGACAGGATGGCTTAAGCAAATTTTATCTTGACCCTCAGGCAAAAAAAATATTGAAATAAAAAAAAAAATACACGGCAAAACAAAATAGAACTTAAACAAAACAGATCAAAAAATTTCAAAATAGTACAAACACGGGTCTGCACGATGAATTCAACTTACGCCCCAGCAGGAAATGTGTACAATTATCCGTTTCCAGTCTACAAAAGACAACATCACGACTATGTATTTCTATGCTGTTCTGTGACGACACACTGAGATCGTTTGCGACATGCGTATCACGTGGTCTTATGACAGTTGTTGCACGCGATCGTCAAAACAATCCAATGGTTGGTATATTGTTTTCCAAAGAGATAATATATAGAGAAAATGGTTCTATTGTTTTCAATATTTTTCATGGTAGACCCCAAACATTTGTGGTTCAATGGAGCAAAAAACTGTCACATAGTAAACATCTCCTGGTGAGTCAAATGCTAAGGAAATTCAACAAAGCGTAATTGAAAGGTTCGCTTTCCGAATTTACTTCGGCTAGCTTTGAGACCATTTGTTTTTAGCACATAAAGCTGTTTTAATGCTTCGCCGTTCTGGAAAGATGGATGGGAATGTAAGGTGCGATAAAATTTAGGCAAAGTCTCTCAGCTCTGGAAACGGCAAGTTTACGAATGATTTGGTAAGGGAATTCTTTTCTTAGCTTACAGCATCTCTGAAAATTGATACATCATCAAGAGAGCTTTGAAATTAATTTTGTTAATAGTGTTACAATAAGAAAAAACAACAACAACAACATCGGCGAAATCAAAAGTTAGCATGTGGAATTACTCACGCCATTTCAGCAGTAAAGGATATTGACTAGTCCTCAACAGCGCATGCACATTTTTTAACAAAATAAAATAAAAGGTCAACCAAGGATTGAAGAACTCAACTGTAATGATGAAATGATGTACAGGGGCTACTTCCAGTACGCTCTGTGGTCACTGTTATAAACCTCAGTTTTATTGGTGTGAGCTAGCCATGTTGGGTTCTTAATTACGTCACAGTTTGTTCTTGCGAATTCTTAAACGCTTAAAAGTAGTGAACGCCTATTTAACAGCGTTACGTCTTTATCAATTGAAATTTAGCAGGTATCAAAAAAATGCAATGGCTCGTAGAGGACATGCTAAATAAATTATCGCGCGATAAAATCAAATTTCGGCGCGATGAATGGAAAATTATTGCGCCATAAATGAAAAACGATCGCGCGATAAATGGTAAACTCGATAGGTCACACGTGACCGGCTGTCACGCACGTTATTTTCATGGACGAGACCACAATGGCTGCAACAGTTGGCAAGTTCTTTCTTAATCTAGCAATTTACAAACCTGCAATGTAATCAGATAGATTAGATGACCCACACTTGTTCTCAGACACTGACAGCCATCTCTGAAAGTGTCTTGTTAGATTCGCAAAATCAAGGTTTACCGTACTGATTCATAGAACTGTGTGTTGAAGAAGTATTGCAAAGTACCGCTCAATGATCTTTTCTCGAAAATAAAACAAACTAGTGAGTTCAAATCATACCTCCTCAACTGTGGCAGCCATTGTCGTCCACGGAAACAACGTGCGCAACAGTCCATCACTTGCGACCTAATCGCGCGATAATTTCTCATTTATCACGCGATAGTTTGACTTTATCGCGCGATTAACAACAACAAAACAAAAACAAATCAAAACAAAATGTGGCATGTCTTCTCTGGGCCATCGTAAAAAATTACCGCTTTTTTTTTTCTTTCCCACATTCTTACTCTTAAGGGCATCCTCTAGCGCACCCCTAGCATACACAGAAGCATCTTGGTATCTTGCAGCTTCCCAGGCCGTGATCACATCTAATTACCGGTCTGTTATCACGCTTTCCACTCGTGATTTCTGATCACAATTTGTGTGGCTACAGCCTCCTACAGGAGGCAAGGCCACATATTTTGTTTTCCTCTGTGATCACGCTATCATCACCGGCTTCCCAGGCCGTGATCACATCTAATTACTAAACTGTGATCTCGTTTTCCGCTCATGAATTGTAATCACAATTTGTATGGCTACTGCCTCCTATAGGAGGCGAAGCCACATGTTATTCTTTGTGATCACGCTATCATCACAGGCATAGTCACGGCGTGAAATGTTATTCCCGTGATTACGCCTTTAACACTAATTTACCAGTTAAATGTACCTAATCAACTTCTGAAACTGCGCACAACTCACTTATTTTAATCCAAAATTAAAAATAATCCCTTAGTGGTAGAGAGTTTAGACACGAAATAAAAGTCAAAAGAGATATCGAGGCCTACCAATGAACGTTACGCTTCGCTGTGAAGAATAAACTCGGAATCAAGCGTTAGCAAAGTATTTCATTTAATATGTATATTTCTTAATTTAAACTTTTATTTGGTGACAGGAACACTTAGAACAATAAGGAGTTTCACGGTTTTTTTTCAACAACATGATAGGAACAGGATGTTTACATTGCAAGTAATAAAAGTAATTATTTTAAGCTCTTGAACAGAGCAATGGGATTTTTTTTTCATTGCGAATTCCTTCCTCCTCGCTTCCGTTTCTGGTAACTGCATCGCCAACCCCTAGCTACCATCAGCAACAGATATAGGTACCATTAAGTGATTAATAGCAATTGGACACTAGCATTGCTTGTGTTATGAGAATTACCTTGCAAATAAATGAAGGAGTACTTGAAGTTATATTAAGGAATCCTTACTGAGAAGCTTATACATGTAATTCAAGTTGGTGAACAGTTTTCATTCAGCTAAGTGGCAAAAGTCATGACTTATTCCAATTCCTCTATTATTTTTAGTTTAAGATCACGATAGCCAATATTACTTACACATGTCAATAGTGAAGAATATCGACCTTACATATTAATGATAAACTAGTTATAAAAGCATTCACAGCGAACTGATCCGTTTCCAGGCTTTTGAAAATCACTGCACCCGGCTTGGTTCATGCACCTACTGGAATTTTTTTCATGGTTTTTTTTCTGCTATCAGATCTTTGCTACATCACATACACTGCATTTCATCTAATGTTCACTTTGCAACATTCAGTTGAGATTGCTTCAGATAAGATAAATGTATTTATTAAGAGTTTCAAAATTTCTCTTAAACTTAATAATGGATTGCACTATTCTCCTCTATTTATATAGCTTAAAAAGCTGATCTACAAAATTCAGTTTCCCCTGATTAGACCATCTATGATTTACGTTAATTTTTTTTAGGTTTATGAATTAATAGTATTTATAGGTGTTTATCTCATTTGCTATGCGTTTGAATTTCTTCTCGGGTACGGAAGATAAATACTTGGCTGGGAAATCGTGTGCAACTTCTAACCCTTACACCTTACTCTATTCTAAACCCAAAATTCTTAACACTGGCATTTGGGATTTCTTTTTCACGCCATGATTAGATTAATGGTTTCATAGGATTGGAACTAGGTCAATATATTTTTTTCAAAACTCTTCAACTTAGAAACTTGTGGAGTGAAACTGCACTAAAAACAGTAAACTTTAATACCATACCTCACTGTCTCCCACTTGTTATTATTTTTACACTAGTCCTTACATAATCGTATTTGCTTTGTTTTTAAAGCAACTATCAGACTGAACACATCATTAGCACTAACACAGCGGCAACATACCGTACTATATATTTCGTCTTGTATTGCAGCTCTAACGTCTTGAGAACAGAGTTTCGTCATATCTGCTAGTTACCATGCTGATTGGTGTTCTTGCATGTCTAGGATTTCAAAATTTAAGCATTTTATTTTAATTTTTTTTAAAAGTTTTTTTTGTTATTAGTTCTTTAAGCAGCAATTTATTACTTGTGATTATTTTATGAAAGAGATGCTTTGTAAAATATGAAAATCAAAGCATATTTGATTGCAAGTTAACAGGACTTCATCAGCGTATAAATAAAAAGGACTTCGCAAGATCCCTGAAGTACGTGTACCTGAGGATCAATTTATAAGTTCTCTTATTGGTTGAATTTTTTGCTTCAGATTCAGACTGTTCCACAGTAACGTGAGAAACAAGTAGGTGGAAAAAGTTTGTAGATGAAGTAGGATCCACAGTTTTTTACAAAAATATATGTTGAGTGTTTGCAACCAGCATAGCCATCACTAAAGCACACACTTCTGCGAACTTCACCATCTTCCATTGTAGGATGAGCACCATTCAACCAGCCTGAGTAGACTGTACCACATCTCTGTCTCGGCACACGCGTTGTTGGCATTTTTTTTCCTGCAGCTCCCACAAAACGATACCATCCCTTAAAGAGTTTGTCGTCACACACTTCTTGGGAATAGGGTGTTACGTAACTGCTATTTCTACTGGCATCACTCAGGTTTTGATGATAATAACACGGGTTGGCTGAAAAAGTTAAACAGATATTTTAAAAAATGTTGATGAATCAAAGGTAAACATTTTCCACTGGCTCCATTCAGGACTTGTGTAATGATGGCAAGATCAGCTACAAAGAAAAATGACTATTTTAAATGATTATAGTCATTACCATCAATGGTAAAATATATTTTTCTATATTCTTATAATTTCAGCAATTTACCAACCAGAAGTAGACCTTGCATTTCACGAGAATGATAATGACTATTTACTTTATGGTTTTAGTTTGTTGCCGATATAGAGCACGCTCTGATTGGGTAAGAGCGAGATCAGAGCAATGCATCATTCAATAGCGATAACAGATAATGCAAACTAGGAAGAGCATAAATTCCAAACATCTACCGCGGCTGCTCTCTTTCTCTTTTCGATAATTTGAGCGCACGAAAATTATGAAGGCCGATTAAGAGTCTGAGGAGTAAATTTAATTACAAGTATCAAATAGTTGGGAAGAACGGTGAATGTACAGGTACTTTTGAGATTGTGGACGAGGCAAACAAACAAGAATAGATTCAATCTCACATCTTATATAGAAAACCGTTAAAACTCGCATTGAAATGCTGTCGGCAACACGATAAAATCCAATTAAATGTTTCCTTCATAAATTTTTTCAATCATTTGTTTTTGACTTACCAGCTGGTGACCTTGGCGGGCACAAGTAAAGAACAATTAAAGTTTTCCGTGATATATACAAAGCTTAAAGGGTAACTGACGGCTGAAAGGTAACACATTGAAACAGACACAAGGTGGTTCGAATGCCTCTTTGTGCCTTATTTTCGCCAGGAAAACTGTCCTAAATGCAGCTTCGCGGGTCATCCGCCTTGAACGCTTCGATTTTGTTCCTGTGACCTTATACGTCACACAGGTGTACATTAAGCAAAGTAAATATGGCGGACAGTAGTTTGACTGAAAGCATTTCTATTTCGGGTCTGATTATTAGGATTTTGAGGCCTCGATGGAAGGTGAACATAATGAAAGGGTTTATGAACCTGTTGGGGAAGTCAGGCCCTCGCGATTTGAACCACAAGGACGGACCTAAAATAGAGCGCGAGAGTCAGAAGAGGAGCCGCGGCCGCCTCAATCAAGAGAGCTCCGTCCCCATTTGTTTTGTTACAAAACATCACTACGCAGCGCTTCCCTCAGGCTGGTTTTCATTTTCTTTGTTTTACATCCTGTTGTTTTCCATCCATATTGCAAATGTCAACGCGGCTAAGAGAAGTGCAGTTTTGAATAACTTGAGCGTGAATATACATGCATATGGCGTTTCTTTGAACATCTATTTACAGCATGTTTCTGTTATTATTCACTTCCACTGGAAGTTAATTAAACTTAGGCGCGCGAATGTGCTCTATATGCTGCTCAACTTAGTAGTTGTAATCGTTCCTGGAGGACTCTCAGCTAGAGACGAAACGCGTCGAAAGAAATAAACAAAAAGTTACAACAGCAAGAAGCCTTCCTTTGTGCTGATCACTAGTCTCCTTTAAAAAAGAACGTGGAACGTGGAAGAGGAGTTTAATTAACGAAACCAGATGACGACCTCCCATAATACGCGACAACACTTCAACGCTTATTCACGCTCACTCCAGAGCCGATGGGCCTGAGGTTACAATGACATACACCGGAAAAATCTTAAGTGGAATAATTTTCGGCATGGACTGAAGATTATTTAATTAAATATAGGAATAGATAATGGTTAAGGGAAAAAAATATGGGAATACATATCTTTTCCACAGCTGTTTGGAATGGCATGCAAATTACCCGTGGCTCTGAATACAGACATGCGATCCATCGTGTTTCGATATTCAACCTTCATTATTTTATTTCTCACTTCGTATTACATAGTCTCTAAATGGTGGCTTACATTAGAATGGAAAAAAAAAACCTCTTTTTTTTTTCGCTCGTAAATTTCGGCAGCGGCTGGACAGCGAGGGCGAAGTTGTTACTTTCAGTCTTGACATGACGCTATTCACTGCCTCACACACATGTGACGTATCACACGTGTGACCTAGATCGGAACGTTTTCAAAATGGCCATTGACTAAGCGTCAAAAAAATTGGTTTTGCACAATATATCATTTATTTGCTCATCCAGGATTTTTTGACCTAAGAGGAATGTATTGAGACAAAAACAAACAAACAAAGAAACAAACAAAAATGAAAAAATTTGCCGTCAGTTACTCTTTAAATCGCTAGGTGAATAACGCCATCGGCAGATGTGTCATGCATCCTTAGCAGAATACCGCGAAAAAATCTTATAGATTATCACTTTCCATGAATTCACAACAATGATTGAAATATTAACACAGCTAGTTTAGTAGTTCTCATCATTATATTTCCTCGCTATCACACAGGCAAGTTAAAACTCAGTTTCCTCTGCGTAAAATCAGATGTAAACAGTCGAGTGGTTCTTGTTGGCAGCAGTATTTGTGATTACATGTAGTATTAGATGTTCAAAAGGCTCGTGAAGTTCATCTATAAGTCTCTCAGAAGGCGAAGATTTCATGCCCAAAGTGAAATTTTGGACTGAAATATATTCTGAGCAATGTATTCCGAAACATTGGGATTTTTTTCCCAAAGGGCCGTGCGAGTTTGACTATTTTGCAGCAATTTTCTGTCTTTTCTGTATGCTTTCCAGTTGACCATTTCCAATTGTCTTGAAAGTAACAAATGTTTTCTTATCAAGTTGTGTCACTTCTATATTGATATCAGTCTTTTTCAAGGCTGCGAATGAAATCATTTTTCCGGAAAATAAATGTATTCTTGATAGTATACGTGACAGTGGTGTAGTTCACCGATTGCGTAGTTTTACCGCGGGTTTGAGTCGATAAAAGAAAAGCTAAATGCACGCATCGCCGAATGTTAATTCATGATTTCTGCTTGAGTAAATTTCTCTTTTTTCCAAGTCAAAGCCATAAAATAAATTATTCGTAAGAAAAATTGTATTAGTTTTAAGAAAAGCAGGATCATAATTAGAGTCCCTTCTTTCTTGACAGCGTATTGAAGGATAGCTTAAGGCAAATACGCGACTTTGCTAATGTACAGTGAACGCTGGTATTGGCAAACTCTGTCCAGGTCCCTCAAGGGGCACGTTGTTCAATGCAGCCTCAATCTTTGCTGTTGTCGAGTCTCGAAGATATCCTGAGAGTTACGCAAATCTAAAGAAAATCTCTCATTTACTTTTTGCGGTATACATTAAATCCTGCATGCTTTCCTCCTCATGACTCGATTTTTAATGGAGAGAAAACTTGACAGATTTACTCAGAATTAAACTTTTAAGTGACAAATCGCAGGGCATTTTCAAAGTCATTTTTGGTGTTACCAGAGAAACGCATGTTACCAGAAGCTATTTATTGAATGTTAGGTAAAATGACTGAAAGATATCTCTATGTTCAAAAAAATGCTAACATTGACCGTTCAGAAACAAAGACGAACGAATTTCAATTTCACTTTGCTGGAATCGTTGTTAACATGACTTCACGGCTATATTATTGCATAGCGTTGCGTTAAAAATTGTGAAATTTGAATAATTAAGAGAAAAAACTATGCAACTGCACAATGCCTTAAGCACATATCAACACTTGAATAATATGCACTGGTCCAAATAATAGCCCAAATATCGCAAAGTATCACTTGAAGTTGGCAATTTCTGTTTTCCAGCCATTGTCCTTATCGCTTTTGAAATTGCACTTTTCGTTATTCCAAAGCTAATTCTATCGCTTTTGGTCTTTGAAGATCTCTACTACTTGCCGAACTGAGTATTCTTCGGCATATTTGATTTTCATTTGGCCTCAAACGGACTGCCTTGATCGGAATGGAGTGGAAGGTGCAAAGAAACATTGAATGACATTTTTTTTGGAGCTATGCACGAACTTACCAATCAGCCTCGGCCTATCATGGGCTCATTACGGAGGAAGGGAAAAAGTTTACAAACATACAACTTTTAAAGCATTTTAACTCTTTTTATCTCTCCGAGACACCTGGTACTGGGTTGGAAAGTCACAGCATTCACTTGCACGCAGTATTAGCGAAGTCGCGTATTAAAGATACAGCTAACATAATTTACATAACTATGACACATTTAAAAATATGACTGGAATGAATTAAAAGTCTATTTAATCCCAGCCCTAAAAAGAAAAAAGGCATGACAGAAAATAGTTTCAGGTCGTAATTATGAAGCAAGATTATCACCTTTAGTTGAAATAATTGCATTTTGTTATGGATCGCAAAGTCTGGAAATTCATTATTGTTTACTACCAAAAGTCTTCTGAGCGGGCAAAATTGCAGAATTCTATGAAACCGGTGAGTACAGTGTCACCCGCAAATTTTAAACATCGACTTCGTACCAGTTTAGAAGGGATAGCTACGTTATCGTTTGCGCACCCGAAGAACGAGTCTGGAAGATTTAAAATAATAAATATAGCGAATGTCAATACTAACACGACAAATGAAACTCGAAGTCACAAATTTAACACTCGTAATTTTTCAACGCCAATTTTTGTTACAAAAAGCACGATTCTGTACAAAAGATCCAAATACTATCAGCGACAACCTGAAACGATAAAAAGTCAGCCACCCTAATAGTAAGATACAATAAAAAATGTTTTCAGGCTCTTATTATGGAGCACGCACAGTAATTACATCTGAGGTTATTTTAATTTTTTTTTATTTATTTTGGTAACAGGGGTTCGCAACAAAAAGCAAGTAGTCAATAAAAATTACGTCACCGATTTCTAACGTTTTGTTTCAAAATATACATGCATTGATTTTTTCCTTTCATCTTCATTCTGTTGTTTAACTCATTTACGAAGTTGTGCACCTTCTAGCCCTAAGGTTCAATGTAAAATTTGCGAATTCGTTTCACACCGTCGTCTATTTTTATTGCAAGCTCCATCCGAAAGAAGAAAGAAACAAAAAGCAACCAAGATATTCATTTACAACAATGGAAAACGATTTAAAGGGTCCGTGACATGATTGAAGGTGATGTAAAATAACTTATCAAGGATCTTATGCTCTAGCAATTTCGATTACCGTGGTGTAGATGTTGCTCTTTTCCAGTCCGCTCAGGTGGACTTTTTTAATACTAAACAAAATACATCAAATTCACCTGTGCAATTTTGTCCATTTCCAGTATATCCAGGCTGACAGTAGCATTCATGTGATCCAATGGTGTTGGTGCAGTTTGCATTCTCGTGACAAGAGTGGTTTCCTTTACACTCGTCAACGTCTATAAATTAAAAGATAAAAACGACGGTACCAAAATTATGCAAAAGTTGTTGTGCATAAGCCAGCACCGTGTTAAAGCTGCAAGCTAAACCTCTTGCTGGCTTGCGAGAACGCTAGATTATCGTACATGAAGAAAACAAGTTATCTATGTAAAAAGCTCCCACTTTATAACTTTTAGTCGAGTAACTGCCGCACCTATTTTGTAGAATCAAAACATGGCTTGCCACGTTACCAAAATAAACAACATCAACAAACTCCCAACCATACAAAAGCTCATTATACTAGTCAACTCGAATCTGAAGGCTCTTCGGATTGTTGACTGTACCTGTACAATTCTGTCCATCTCCGATAAATCCAGGTTCACAAGTACAAACATATGATCCATGTGTATTATTACACGCAGCCTTCTCGTGGCATTTGCCAGGGCTTACGCCGCATTCATCAATATCTATCGTAAAATTAGAAAGAAAGAGATAAAAAAGATGAATAAAATATCAGCCAAAGACATAAGCATTTTGGTTTCTATTAAGGAACCATGGGATCCTGGGAGTTCGCAAAAACCCTCAATTTCTTCGAAGCTGTCTGTTATAAGTGCTTCTCTGGTGGAACCTTTCAATTAAGGTATTATTTATGAACCCTCCTTGCAGCTACTCTATTAAGCATACAACATATGAACTGCTGTTATATGCATTAAATTTACCTGTGCAGTTTTGTCCATTTCCAGTATATCCAGGCTGACAGTAGCATACATGTGATCCAAAGGTGTTGGTGCAGTTTGCATTCTCGTGACAAGAGTGGTTTACTTTACACTCGTCAAAGTCTATGAATTAACAGATAAGAAAGAGGGTATCACAATTATGCAACAGTTGTCATGCATAAGCCAGCACCATGTTATAGCGTACAAGCCACGGTTGTCTTAAACCTTTTGCTGGCTTCCAAGAACGCGAGATTGTCGTACATGAAGAAAACAAGTTGTCTTTGAAAAAACTATCACATTATAACTTTTAGTCGCGCAACTGCCTCACCTATTTTGTAGAATTAAAACATGGCTTGCCACGTTACCAAAATAAACAACAACGACAAACAATCATCTAAACAAAAGCTCATTATACTAGTCAACATGAATCTGAAGGCTTTCCAGACTGTTGACTGTACCTGTACAATTATGTCCATCTCCGATAAATCCAGGCTTACATGAGCAGGAATATGATCCGTGTGTGTTATTACACGCAGCCTCTTCGTGGCATTTGTGAGGGTTTGTTTCGCATTCATCAATATCTGTCGTAAGATTAGAAATAAAAAAAAAATGAATAAAATATCAGCTAAAGACATAACCGTTTCGGTTTCTAACAGAGAGTCAAAGGAGTTCGCAAAAACCTCGATTTCATTGCAGCTTTCTGTTTTAAGTGGTTCTCTGGTGGGACATTTCAATTGTGCTATTATTTCGGAATTCTCCTTGCAGTTTCTCTATTGAGCCATCAACATACGTACGAACTGCTCTTATGTGAATCAAATCACCTGTGCAATTTTGTCCATCTCCAGTATATCCAAGCTGACAATTGCATACATGGGATCCAATGGTGTTGGTGCAGTTTGCATTCTCATGACAGGAGTGGTTTCTTTGACACTCATCAACGTCTATGAAATCACAGATGAAAAAAAAAATGGGATTTCTAAATTATACAAAACCTGCTGTGCATACGCCATTACCTTGTTAAAAGTGCAAGTCATGGCTGTTTTCAATCCTTTGCTGGATTGCGAGAACGCGAGATTGTCGTACCTGGTGAAAACAGGTTATCTATGCAAAAAGCCATCACTTAAAAACTTTTAGTTGGGTAACTGTCTCACTTAGTTTGAAGAATTAAAACATGGCTTGCCACGTTATCAAAATAAACATCAACCAAAAAACCAACTATTTACGGTTACCTGTACAATTATGCCCGTCTCCGATAAATCCAGGTTTGCATATACACAAGTATGATCCGTATGTGTTATTACACGTAGCCTCTTCGTGGCATTTGCCAATGGATCCTTTGCATTTATCTGTCGTCGAATTAGAAAGAAGCAGGGGGAAAATACAAAATATCAACTGAAGACATATGCGCTTGCTTTCTATCAAAGAGCCATAGGAACTCGGCAATTCGCAAAAACCTCAATTTATTTGTAACTTCCTGCTTTGAGTGGTTCTCTGGTGGTAACTTTCAATTAAGCTATTATTTCTGAGCTCTCCTTGCAGTTACTATATGAGGCATTCGACATACTTATAAACTGCTCTTATTTTGCCATGGAAAGGCGTCGAACGTTCAAGGTAAACAAAAAAAATAAGAAAAATAAAATAACAACAAAGAACAACACCAAAAAACAGCAACAACAACAAACAGCAAACAACTCAGACAAAACAAAACAAAACAAAAATATACAAACGAGCGAACAAAGAATACATTACACACGCCCAATAAAATACAGTAAGAAATTTTCTTTTTGAAAGATTCAGCACCTTATAATAGACAAAATTCACTCCACTTTCAGCAACTGAAGAACAGTTGTCATACCAGCATTGAAAATTAGAAAAAATCTCATTTACGTTCATTTCAAGTGTTGACTTAGACTCATACCCTTTTCACAATGTTCTCCCTTGTATCCAGGAGGACACAAGCATCGATATCCCTTGAATGTAAATCCAGACTGGCAAGTTGCGTTATTTTGGCACTGGGGACTCTTATCACAAGCGTTCTGAAGGACAAAAACACAGTGAAACGAAATAACTAAAGAAAGATCGAGAGTTTGAGTGAAAGAAGGAACCAAATACCGAGTGATCGAATGCGCGAGAATTTGCATAAACATTCATATTGTTTTTTAATTATTCCAAGGCGACAATTATGAAAAATCGATTGGTAACTCACCTTCGAGCCACGATAATAAAACTTGGCATCAGTTGTCAAGTCACTGTCATATTTCAGATGCGTGGCGTTATTAAGTTGACAGTTGTAACCTGTTTTATCATTTTCTGGATCTTTTTTGTAGTTAAGACTGACACAGTCGTCGTTCAGGTAGCAAAAGAGTTCACAGTCATCCAAGTTCTTGACGCGTTTTTCATCAATGGTATGGTTTACCAAACGTCTTTCAGCAAAGAAGTAGTAGTCCGGAAACACCATTGCGCGCTCTCTCTCTAAAATGTACAAATTGAAATATGATTATAAGGCATACTTTTCCGTCGCAAAAAAATTAAATTTCTTGCCAAAATTTCTCGGATCTCAGCAAACTATGGTAACAAATGCGTTAAAAACGTAAGTCAAACAAAGCAGTCGGTGAGAAGAACGATGATTCGTTAAATGTAATGAAAAACTTTGTAAATTGCTTCGCCGTTTTCTACAATTAAACAACAACATGAAAATACATAAACGGCGGTGTTAGACAAGGATTTCCGGCCCTGAGAAAAGCTGTAACAATGCATGTGAAAAAATATTGTATTTTTTTACGTGTGTCGATATAGCCAATCAGCTGCTTACACTCGCCTTTGGTGCCACTCGGTCAGGTTGATAATTGAACGGCAAAGCCTTCACGATTCTCAATACAAGTTGTTTTTCGGAGCTTTATTATTATTATGGCGGCTAAAGCACTAAAAAATCCGTATCGCTGACAGACAATGAGTTTCAAACCCTCCTAGAAGGGGAAGAAAACCAATATACTAAAAGAAAAACCGAAAGGTGCGTATTCGGTGGCTTTGGTGATAGCATTATTCTCGGCTAAAAATGAAAATCGACAGCTGGAAGATTTGCCACTGGCCGATTTTGGCAGTTTACCTGAAAGACTTCTTCTGTTGGTAATGACAAAGTCAATAAATTAGAATTTAGTAAATTGAAAATTACAACCATTGTTGTTTTTGTAATCACGATTCAACGCATTTTTCCATCTTAAGAGTCAGCGCCAACGCAATCTGCGATTGTTTTTCGAGGATTGTCGATTCATTTATTTTCATTGATTAATGAAGTCGGATTTTCTTCCCAGTAAAGGGCTATAGTGTTTATATGATAACAAAATAATACATGGTTGCTCGTAGATATGGAATTTCTCTTCTCGTGTTCAATTCAACATTTCACTCGTCCATGATTATTCCTACACGCGCCCATGATTATTTTCTATTTATTTGAGAGTTTGGGGGTTTCTGAGGTACGGCTCCTTTACGGCAAATATGTCGAGTTTCACATGACTTTGGAAACTCAAGAAGTTCGTGCGATTTTAGATGAGTTTATCATATCGATAGAAAAGACGAGCTCATCAAACACTCAGTGAAATTCCTACTACAAAGGGAGTTCATTGGTGTTTGCATTTTTTGACGTAGTTGTCATCAGTGTCATGAACACAGTTTAAATGCTATTATAGGGAGCCTTTAATACCTCAAAAACTTTGATCATGGATGGTCTTAAAGGTTTTTTTTTTATCTTTTTATTTTTTTATAATTTGGTTTTGCACTTTATATAGACAGCTTGACTATTGAGTGTTTATTAAACAAATTTAAAACTGAAGAGCTCCCCTGCGGCTCTTTTCTTCTAACGATTATCGTGAACAGAGGGAATTCATGCAAATTTAAGCCGGGAAAAACTATTTTTGTTTTGCGTCAATGAGCAGATTTGTATTCGTTTTCGAAAGTTTTCTAAACGTACAAATGTATAATGAAATCCTATATTTTTACTTTTGCAAGCCAATGTAAGTTGTTTGAACTGCTTAGCTATGGTGAATATAATCATCTCTTTATTTCTGTTGCTTGTTTTCTGAGAACAACCAATTTATCTGTTCATCGTTTTAATTTATTAATTTTTTCTCATGTCGAACAAAGTCCACCCGCATCATTTTTCTGCTATTGGAAAATATTGATTACGGCTACAGAGTTTTAAAATACAGGATTTTAGATTTTTTAAAACGACTCTTTATAAGCTCAGCGCATCCACTGTTGTGAATCAGCGAAATAGAAATAAAGAGTGATGGAAAATAAAATAGCTCAGGCTAAAGAATGAATATAGGGATAAAAAATGACTCGCAGTTTGCTACTCACCTTTACCAAACGTCAAGTAAATCAGCGATGAAGTCCAAACTGCGAATACTAGAAACGCTGAAAATTCCATGCTTCCTCAAGACAACGGGGCTCAATATTGATGCTTTTAGCATGCCGCAAATTCGTGTCGACCACCTGCATTTAACAATGGATTAAGTAATAGAAACCGCCCTTTTGGTTTTGAAAATGGGATGTTAACAAAGTGAATAGATGTCAGTCCTGCCCTATGCAAAGTTATTGATGCAAATAACATACGTGGGTACCCGTTTTAAAGCCTGCGAATGAACATCTTTTCAATCTCTTCCTTTGTACCGCTTAGAAACCCTTTGGTTTTGAGGGGCTACGATTCCATAAGTGTTCATAAGCAGATTAGACTTAGGGATTTTGACACACAAATTTCTACAACATAAACTTCAATTGCTTTATACTTACATTCAATGGAGTGCGTTTCAGACTATAACATTATAAACATATTCTTAGGAACATTAGGTGAACATACTCCGATAATGCAGTCACATAAAAGCCAAGCTCCCTCGAGTTTCTGAGAAACAACACCTTCAAGTTTTCAAGATCGATCCATATATTCTTCATTTTTTTTTATTCTCAGGGGAAAAGTCTTTGCAAGATTGATTCAAGCGTCGACAATTGACGAAAATAATTTTTTTTACAAAAATATAGTGATCGCTGTTGGCGTAAACTTATCCCCCAGAAAAAGACTTTAGCCCTGCCCTTTCATTTTCTAAAAGCATGAATTCTTAATGTGGACTATATCTTAGAATAAATCAGAAATTATAAAATAAGTCGCGTTCTTTGATGAATTGTGAGTCTCTTATTTTAATTCGACGAAATGAATGAGGGAAATCGTGTTTGGAGTTTTTAAGCTGTACCACCCACTTTACATCGAGCAGAATATTTTTTCGTCTGCCCCTCCTACTTACTCGAAATAATACAGGAACGCAATAATTTAAAGATGTCTTTCCTATTTGAAGTCTTAAGGAATTATTCATTTTATCTTCCGTTACATTCATTAACGTCAAGATTAATTAATGATGAGTTCTAATAAGCTCTTTAGTTTGAAGAAACAGAAAATCTCCCCTAGAACTACTGAAATTCTATAGATTTGCCCAGCAACTTACAACCTATGTCTCCATAAATCAAGATTGCATAAAGAGTGCCAAGGCAGAAACACTCAGTACCTTATAATGATTGAACGCGATCCAGTGTAGACAGCTGCTATACTTAATCCAGAGCCTTGGTGAGACGACGCTTTGAATGTTGTTTTAAGCACCACCTCCATCTCAAGGATAATGGCAAATTGATATTTGGAAAAGGTGTGCCGTAATTTATGATTGGATTCAGCCAGACCGTGATTCAGTATCGGATCTGACCTCCAAGGCCTTCATTGGAAAACCTTTTAAATTATAAAACATTTCCAGGTTTTTCTCCACTAGATAAAATTGCTGCAGACTTAGGTTAAAGAGATCTGTGAGCAAACATTTGGTTCCCGACTCATTTTCTGATTGGGAGCCATGCAAATCAACTTCCATACTTTTCAAGGTTCTTCTTTTTCAAAATCATCACTTCTGCCGTAATATGAACGGAATTCAAACGAGCTGCACATCAGTCTAAGTTTGGGGATAAGACAAAACAATTTGTGAAAGGAAATCTTTATAAGAACAGAAAAATGACTGCCACAGTTTTTGACAAGTTGGATATTTCAAATGAAAAAGATTCTTGTCATCAACTCCATTTCTTTTTACTGTAAACTGAACCCAAACAAAAATCCTCTCTCATCGCCTCATGGAATTTCCTGTCGTTTGCAGTTTCACAATTTGTGACGAGCTAGGAACCGCACTGAATTTTTATAATTTGGCACTTTTCTTTATTTACGGAAATGATGGAACAACAATTTCGACGAGTGGTGTCATTATAAACAAAATAATATCGCTGAGAAAAGCTTCAAGAATAAAACCCGTTGTAGGACACTAAACATTTAGGATAAGGATCTTATTTATATCAAATAGCTGAAGCTGTTTTCTCGCCAAAAGTTTGTTATATCCACATTTGAAAGTCAAACTCAAGTTATCCATGCATGAAGTATGATCATTTCCTACCTTCAAAGATCCAAAGTTCTTTGCCGCCCAACTTAAGTGTTATTGAGCCAAACGCGTTTTCCTTTCTTACTCTCTGGTAGCTATGGTTACGATAAAAACTGCTGGTTTCAAGCCAAGATGATCATTAATATTAGAGATGAACTTCCCTCTTCCTGTTTGGGCTCTTTGCACCAAAAGCTTAATTGGTAAAAAATTTAACCGAATGCGACGGATTGATTAATGCATCTTGGACTATAAAATGTTATTATTAATTCTTTGAAAGTGTCTCCTGTGGTCAGGTGCCAGGGGCGTTCTAATCATATAATTGCTGACCCTCGTAAAATCCTATTGTGTTCCCTCTGCATTATATTAGCGATTTCTGCCGAAGAAGGTAAATAAGTCTCCAGTACGGTCCAAGTTTCTAAGGAAAATGAGGGCGAGATACTAGGGTGTCCTTCAAAGAAGATCATCCCTGGTCAAGGTTTATGAGATACTAATCACCTAAATAATCGAATGCACGGAATTGCATATATGTGGTAAAGTTAAGCGCTAGTTTCAATAAACAGCTGCTTGACTATTGAGGGTTTATTGAAGAAATGTATTAGTGAAGAGGTTCCCTGTGGCTTTTTTCTTCGAACGGTTATCGTGAACAGAGGAAATTCATGCCGAATAAAGCCGAAAAAAAAACGTTCTTGTCCTGCATTAATGAGCAGATTTATATAAGTTTACGAAAGTCTTCGAAACGTACAAACGTAGAATGACATTTTAAAATGTTTACTTTTGCTAGCCAACGTAGATTGGTAGAATTGCTTAGCTATGGTGAATATAATCATCTCTTTATTTCCGTCATTTGTTTCCTTAAAACAACTCATTTATCCGTTCATCGTTTTTAGTGATTTTTTTTTCCATTACGAAAAAATCGTCAACCTACATCATTTTTCTGCTGTTGAAAACTATTGATCACAGCAACACCGTTTTAGAAACACTGAATAATATATAAATAATATAT